TCTATATATAAAATCATATCATCTGCAAATAGCAAAAGTTTCACTTCTTCCTTCCCAATTTGGGTTCCTTTTATTTCTTTTTCTTGCCTAATTGCTCTGGCCAATACCTCCAGTACTTTGTTGAGTAAGAGTGGTGAGGGTGGGCACTCTTGTCTTGCTCCTGTTTTCAGAAGGATGGCTTCCAGGTTTTCACCATTAAGTATGATGTTGGTTGTGGATTTGTCATATATGGCCTTTATTATGTTGAGGTACTTTCCTTCAATATCCATTTTATTGAGAGTTTTTATCATAAATGGCTGTTGGATCTTGTCAAATGCTTTCTCTGTATCTGTTGAGATGATCACGTGAGTTTTAAGACTCATTTTGTTAATGTGGTTTATCACATTGATTGATTTGTGGATGCTGAGCCATGCCTGCGTCCCTGGAATGAATCCCACTTGATCCTGGTGTACGATTCTTTTAATATGTTCCTGCATTTGGTTTGCCAATATTTTGTTGAGGATTTTTGCATCTAAGTTCATCAGTGATATTGGTCTATAGTTTTCCTCTTTCGTGTTGTCCTTGTCTGGTTTTGGTATAAGGGTAATGTTGGCCTCACAGAATGTGTTAGGAAGCTTTCCATCTTCTTCAATTTTTTCAGAATAGTTTGAGAAGGGTAGGTACTAAATCTTCTTGGAATGTTTGGTAGAATTCTCCAGAGACTCTATCTGGTCTTGGGCTTTTGCTTTTGGGGAGGTCTTTGATTACTGTTTCAATCTCTGTACTTGTGATTAGTCTATTCAGATTATCTCTTTCTTCTTGATTCAGTTTTGGGACGTTGTATGAATCTAGGAATTCATCCCTTTCTTCTAGGTTATCGAATTTGTGGGCATATAGTTTTTCATAGTATTCTCTTATAATCCTTTGCATTTCTGCATTATCTGTTGTAATTTCTCCTCTTTCATTTCTAATTTTATTTATTTGAGCCTTCTCTCTGTTTTTCTTGGTGAGTCTGGCTAAGGGTTTGTCAATTTTCTTTTTCTTCTCAAAGAACCAGCTTGTAGTTTCACTAATCCTTTCTACCTTTTTTTTTTTTTAGTCTCTGTTCCACTTATTTTTGCTCTGATTTTTATTATTTCCCTCCTTCTGTTGACTTTTGGCTTTGTCTGTTCTTTTTTCTAGCTCTGTTAGGTGCATTTTAAGATTACCTTTTTGAGATTTTTCTTGCTTGTTGAGGTGGGCCTGTATTGCTATGAATTTCCCTCTTATGACCACTTTTGTCACATGTTGTAAGAGTTGGTATGTTGTATTTTCATTTTCGTTTGTCCTTGGGCATTTTTTAATTTCCCCTTTGTTTTCTTCAGTGATCCAAAGGCTGTTCAATAGCATGTTGTTTAGTCTCCACATATTTCTGACTTTCCCTGTTTTGTTCTTGTGGTTGATTTCTAGCTTCATAGCGTTGTGGTCTGAAAAGATGGTTGGGATGATTTCAATCTTCTTGAATTTATTGAGGCTTGTCTTATTACCCAAAATATGGTCTATCTTTGACAATGTTCCATGGACACTTGAGAAGAATGTATATTCTGCCGTTTGGATGGAATGCTCTCTAGATATCTATTAAATCCATCTGATCAAGTGTTTCTTTTAAGTCTATTTCCCTGTGGACTTTTTGTCTGGATGATCTGTCCACTGAAGTAAGTGGAATGTTGAGGTCCCCTACTGTTATGGTGTTGCTGTTACTTTCTCCTTTTAGGTCTGTTAATAATTGCTTTATGTACTTTGGTGCTCCTGTGTTAGGTGTATATATATTAATAAGTGTTGTGTCTTCTTGGTGGAATGTCCCTTTTGTCATTATATACTGCCCCTCTTTGTCTCTCATTGTTTTGTTTTAACTTTTTTAACTTTTTAAAAGTCTGCTTTGTCTAATAAAAGTATGGCAACAGCTGCTTTATTTTCTTGGTCATTAGCTTGGAGTATCATGTTCCATCCCTTCACTCTGAGCCTATGTTTGTCTTTGGAGCCGAGCTGCATTTCCTGTGGGCAGCATATTGTTGAGTCTTGTTTTTTAATCCATCCAGATACTCTGTGTCTTTTGATTGGAGAATACAATCTATTTCCATTTGGAGTGATGATTGTTATATGAGGGCTTAATGCTGCCTTTTTATCTCTTGTTTTCTTGTTGTTCTGTGTTTCCACTGTTTCTCTCCCTTCGTATTTTTGGACTGTCATTTCATTTTGTTGGTTTTCTGAGGGAGATCTCTCAGTTTTCTCTCTTTTTGTGAACTGTGGCTCTGCTCTGATTTTTTGTTTAGTGGTTACCATGAGGATTGTATGACAGATATTGGAGATGAGATAGTCCATTTTCTTATAGCCTCTTATCTCCATTAACCTAAGCAGGTTCCTTTTCTTTCCTCTCCCCTTATGAGCAATTGCTGTTACAAATTGTTCTGTTTTTAATTTTGTGAGTTTGTAGCTAATTTGAAGTGTTTATCATTACTTTTGATGCTTTCTTTCCCTTTCTCTTTCAGGTTATAATTGAGTCTTTGCCTCCCTGCTCTAGTAGAGAGCTTCAGGTTTCTGATCATGTCTGTCTATTTATCTCCTTGCTCAGAGCTTTGTAGGCCTTTACCTTTTTGTTGCTGGTGTGAGGGCATCTTGAATTATTTCTTGTAGGGGAGGCCTACTGGTGATGAAATCCCTCAGCTTTTGTTTATCTGAGAAAGTGTTTATTTCTCCATCATATCTGAAAGAAAGTTTCACTGGATAGAATATTCTTGGTCCAAAGTTTTTGTCTTTCAGTATTTTGAACATATCATTCCGTTCTCTCCTAAGCCCATAGAGTTTCTGCTGAGAAATCCACTGAAAGTCTGATAGGGTTTTCTTTGTAGGTTATTTTCTTCTGCCTTGCTGCTCCTAATATTTTTTCTTTATCACAAACTTTTGACATTTTTACTATTATATCCCTTGGAGAAGGTCTTCTATCATTGTTGAAGTTGGGCATTCGATTAGCTTCATTTACCTGTAAATCTGAATCCACTTTCGGGTTTGGGAAGTTCTCAGCAATTATTTCTTCGAACAAGCTCTCTGCTCCTTTCTCCCTCGCTTCTCCCTCTGGAATACCTATAATCCTTATGTTGCTTTTCCTAATTGAGTCAGACATTTCTTAAAGAATTTCTTCATTAAAAAAAAAATCTTAGTTCTATCTCCTCCTCCACCTGTAGAATTTCTACATTTTTATCCTCAAGAAGACTAATTCTTTCCTCCATAAGATCAGTTCTATTTCTTAATGATTCTAGATTATTTTTTATTTCATTATTTGTGTTTTTCATATCCAGAATTTCTGCTTGATTTTTTTTTAAAGTTTCAATCTCTTTGGTGCACAGATTCATTTTATTGGTCAGCTCCTTGAATTGTCTTTCTTGTTTAGCTGTAAGTCATTGAGTTTCCTTATGATGGTTATTTTGAATTCTGTGTCTTTTAGGTTGTAAATTTCTGTCTTCTGGGTTGGTTTCTGGAGATTGTCATTTTCCTTCTGGTCTGAATTGTTGCTGCAGTTCCTCACAGTGTTTGATGAGTTAATCTTTTTGGGGGGCATTTGTGGTATTCTTAGGATGCAGATTCCCCCTATTACCGCTAGGGGGAAGCAGGAGCAGCATTTCTGGCCCCATCCCAACTGCTGGCAGCTGTAGGGGTGTTATGGGTGCTTGCCCCAACCTGGGGTGTGTTCAGGCACTTGTGTGGACTGCCCTTGGTGGACGGGGCTTCCTGGCTGGGCTAGGGCCACCCTTTGGGGCCTCAGGGGTACTCTGAGCTCCCCCTCCCCACCAGAAAGTGATCACCAGTGGGCTAAAGCTGCTGCTGCCTATTCCCACAACCTCCCAGGACATGTTCTTTCTTTGGAGGCTCAGCAGCACTATGAGCGCTCATGAGCTGGCCTGGGGAGCGTTTGCCACAGTGTGTAGATTGCTGCAGTCTCTGTTTATGCTTCGCAGTCCCTGGAGCCACTGTGCGTGGTGGGTGGGGTTTCCTTGCTGGGACTCAAGCTGTGGCTGCTCCTTGGCAGCACAGGGACATTGTTAGCTCCTCCTCCCCACCAGGAGAGCCACCATGAGCCCAGGCTAAAGGTTAGCACCGCCTCCTCCCATAGTCGCCCTGGTGCATGTTCCCACTTTCCAGGCACTTGCACCAGGTTGGAAACCACTCAGGTCCATGCACAGGGATACCGGGGGAGAGCAGGGTGTGCTCATCTCTCTCTGCCACTTCCCGGGGGGTCAGTCCATCCACCCTCAGATGTATAGCTGCGTGTGTCTCTCAGGAATCCTGTTGTGCTGTGTGGGCTTCCCCCATTGGTCAGTGAATGTCCGTTTAGTTGTGGTTCAAAAGGGGGAAAGACAAAAGGAACAGCTCACCTTGCCAAGCTGCTCTGTGAATTCTTGATCTCCAGGATTATTAAAATGAAAACAGGCAAAAAAAATACCAAAAAAGCAGTTGGAAATATAAAGTATTGATTCTGACCCAGCTCATGTCTTCTGGTGTCAGGATGGGACCACTCCTGGAAAGGATGCCCCAGCGGCTATGAACGTGATCCAGAAATGGAACAGATGTCCCAGGGAAGATCACACCTCCTTGGTGATCCCATGCCTAAAACTGCTCCCTGAGCTTCAGAGATGTACATAATGGGGACACGGGGGCACATTTCTTTCAAATGGTGAGAGGTTATTACCTGAAACGTAGTTACTAAAATAAGGAGCTGTTCCTGAATGTGACAGATAGCATAAGTCTCAGAAAAGTAGGCTTTTCTCCTCATTCAAGGTCATGCGAAGCATTCAAAGACTCGGAGAGGATCGAGCACAGAGGGTTCCCCCCCAGACACTGAGATCAGCACTTTTCTCTTCCTTCACCTTAACGCAAACACCTGAGATCCATGTCCTAAGGATGCTGGAATCCAGTTACCCTGGAAATTTTACCTGCACTGCTTTCTATTCTATTGAGTGCCTCAAAAGATTGGATGATTCCCATTCTCATTTTGGAGGGAAATCTATTTTACTGAATTCACCAAGTTAAATGTCAAACTTGTCTGGAAACACCCACTAATAATATTTAATCTGGGCATCTCACAGCCAAGTCAAGTTGACATATAAGATTAACCATCACATCGGCCTTGGAGGCCAATGTTTAGCACACACACACAGACACAGAGCTTGGCATTGGGCATTCTGAGCACTGAGGTGGGCCATTTTCTTCTCTTTGCCCTGGGGAAGATGGGGCTCCTATGGATTGGCAAACGGCCCTAGTTGTCAGGTCAAATAGGTACTGGGACAATGTCTTAGTAGGAGAGAAATACTGGAGATGCTCTTTTCCTGGATCATTTGCATGTTACTGTAAACCTACGTCTGGCCACCAGTGTCCAACAGGGTCACCGATCCAGGTATAAAGGCTTGACGGTCTTTGCCCCCTGAACTCCAGTCAGTGGCTTTCCCCAACACACTCCTCTCCTCAGAGCAGTTGAACAGCTGTAATGTCACATCAGCAAGGTGAGCCAACAGACGAGCGATGATGTGCAAGGCTGCCATAGCAGCTGTACCTCCACTGATCCTCGGAGCCTGGTGGCTGCTGCTTCAACTGCTCCATTCTCTTGCGGCCAACTGGAACCTGGAAGCTAACAGGGAAGGGGATTCTGGGAAGTGTAGTTCCAGCCTGGCAAAGCCTCCACAGGTTTCTTCACTGAAGGCTTCAAATCACTGTTTAAAAATCATACTTTAAGTACAGTAATTGCTCAGAAGTGTAAATTTCCAACTGCCCCCCCCCCCAGCTATGATTCCTGTGGCTACTGTTTCAGTTATCTCTTTCTGCACGTCATCAAACCACCCTAAAACTCAGTGGCCCAAGCAATCATTTTATTCTATCTCATGGTTCTGCAAATTGACCAGAGCCCAGCTGGGCAGTTTCACTCCTAGTTTTGCTCTGGGAAGTCAGGTTGGGATGGTGGTGGTGACTGGAGTTGGATATCTGACCCTTCAGTGTTCCTCTATGTAACATCTCTCTCCATCAGAGTCCCCTAGGTTGCTTACACAGGTGCCCAGGGATCCATGAGGCAGGAGTGGAAGTTACAAGGCCTTCTTAATGTCTGAGCTGGTGAAGCCTCAGAACATCTTGTCCTCCATATTCTTTTGGACAAAGCAGTCATGGACCCAATCCAGGTTCCAAATGAGGAGATTATCATAACAAATTCCATCTTGTAAGGAGAGGAGCCACATGTTTGTACAAAGGAGGGGCAGGATTGCTTGGGATTGTTTTTGGAGACCAGTTCCTACAGCTACTCACCTGCCTGAGTGTTGGCTGCTTCCTCTATCCCATGAGGAAGGTTACCCCTCTTTGTCAGGGATGTTGAGATAATGAAATAGGAACAGATATTTAAAGGGGCCACACAGATCCTTCGCCTTTCCTGCCCTTGGATTGGTGACGACAACTTGGCCTTGTCCATAGGGCATTCCTGAGGGTGAACAGAAGGACATGGGTGAGAAGTAGAGGTGCTCCCCTGGTCTGCCTCCCTCCTTCCAGGCTGACCTGAGCCCTCCTCAGCACCATCTGACATCCTGGCCATCCTATAGCCAGGCATAACGTCCCTATTCTGTGTGATCAGGCCTCTCTACAGGGCTGCGGACATCTCCAAATCACCATTTGTCCCTGAATCAGCACCACGGATAGCACCACTGACCTTTCCTAGGGATCCCAAGGAGCCAGGATAGAGTGAGCACCTCCTATGAGTGGAGGTCTGACCCCTGCTGGGGCAGAGGTGGGGTTGGTCACAAACAGAGCACAGAACCTGGTAGCTGGTGGAGAATCTCCAGCACATAGAGGAGTGTGTGGAATTGAGAAGATAACACCTGAGAGTCCAGCAATTCCCCAGGTACCAGGATCGCCTTTGAAATTCACAACCCTTGTGACCGCCTGAGAGTCCCTAACATGTCTACTAGGCTCTTTGCTCCCAGAAGAGCAGGAGCCCCTCTCAACCCAGGTGTGATTCCCCATCACAGTCACTTACCCTATGCACGGAATTGTCAGGTAACCACTCTCCCAGCCAGACGTTGCTCTCCTCGAAGGCAAGGTCTAGATCTCTCATATTCATCCCTTTACTGGAGACCTGAAGGCACAGTGTACATGATTGTTGAATGAATGAATGAATGAATGAAGTTTCCTCTCTCAACTCACGGAGAGAGTTGACAGTCCTCTTCTCTCATTAACATGTGCTTCCTGTCTCCCAGCTCAATGAATCCTGGGCAGACCAAGATTGTTGAAGTGGTTCCCAGTGCAGACAATGGTGCATGAGACGGGGCAACCATGCGATTTGGACAATTCCTTTGCGCACTCTGGACCTCGGTGTCTTCTGCAAATTGGAGAAGTGGAAATACAAGGCCCCCCCAGCTCTATTGGCCTATTGGTCATAGTTCCTCTTTTACACACAACTGGTTTCTCTGTGGCTTCCTCATGTCTCTCCTTCCCATTCTTTTGCTTTTCTTTGTAAATTGGGGACCATGGAAAACAGACTAAGCCTGGCCTAGCCCTCTGACCACAGATGCTGCAGCTGCCCCTGCTGGGAGAGAGAGAGTGGCCAGGACAGGGGGGGCCCAGGTGGGGATGGGGCTGTAGGATGAGATTCCAGCTGAAAATATAGGAATTGGTGATGGCATGAGAGTACCTATAGATGCTCAAAGCTGGCACTTTCCTTCTCTATGATCACACATTGCTTCTACTCCAGTATTTGGGTGAGTAAAGGCAGCATGCTCAGATGATAAAACCACAGAGAAAAGCAAGGAATCAGTTGGCATTATAGTGAGGCTGGGGCTCCTTGGAGGGAGTGGGGTGTGGGCATAGGGAGGGGGATCAAGGGGGAGGACCTGGGTGTTCCTGACATTCTATTTCTTGGAGGGTGTTCATTGTGTGATAAATCACTGAGCTGTTCTTGTGGGGGCACTTCTCTGTATTTGTGTTGTGTTTCCCCCAAAAAGTTTCAAGAAGTTGGCATCAGTCTGAGGAGGCACCATCTCCCAGGATTCCCACCACTTCCTCCCAGCCCTCAGCCACACACTTCAAAATAGCTTTCTGTGAATTCAGGTGCGTGTCTCATCTCTCACGAAATCCTCACCATCCCTCAGGGTGAACAACCAACCTCCAGTCTGGCTTCCTTGCTCAGTGTCTCCTGCACATCCAAATCCTGGGAACGGAGACCATTTGGGCAAAGGTTTGGAGGCCAGAAGACCTTGCCATGCTCTGGAGGAACAAGGAGAATTTGGGGGAGCAGGTGCTGCAGCCCTGCTCTTCCTGTCCTTCTGCATCATCATCATCATGTGAGCAGTGACCCTGGGGAGGGAGGGAGAGCCCTGGGGTGGGAAGCACAGGCAGCCACAGATCTCTGAACCCAGAGCTGGAGGGACTGGGTGGGTCAAGAGCCTGAAGCGGGGGCAGGAAGGAGGTCCCTGGCACCTGAGTGAGTCTGTCACAAACCTCTGCCCCACTGTCCAGGATAGGGAGCCTGTGTTCACAACCCTGGGGTCTCTGGGAGAGGACCACCCCCTCCCACCTCAGTGACTCACTCCAGCCCCTTCAGAGAGAACAGAGGAGCGGGTCAGTCTGCCCACTGCACCCTGAGCTGGTTGGACTGAAAGGTTCTCCGATCTCTTCACTCAGAGTGAGGCCCTGCAGGAAGGAAGCAACAAGGTCAGCAGCAGGCTTGGGGGACACAAGCATGGAGGGTGAAAATGCCGTCACAGGGTTAGTCTCTCAGGTGAGTGACTTGGGCGCCTCCCCATCCAGCATCTTACCTGGACACCTCCGCCAGGCTGGCTTTCTGGATTGCCCCACTTAGCATGGCCAAAGTTGTTCTCCTCACCTCCTCCTCCTATTCTTCCCTTCAAGTTGGATCCCCATATTTCTGACAGCATGACGGACCCTCCTCTTTCTTTTGGGCCAGGCGTGGAGGAGTCACCCTCTCTCTATCCTCCCTTTCTTCTGCTATAGCCAAAAATTCACCACATCTTGTCCATTTTTCCTCCTATGAACAGCTAGCATCAGTTTGCCTTTCTCCATCTCAATCTCCATCATTGCCAAGGTTTCAGAATCTCTTTCCTGGACCCCTCATCTCCCTGCCTCTCACCTCCCTTTCCCTACATAGATCGATCATCTAAAAGGCATCATGGTCCAGTTCTTCTGCATTTGAACATCTGTTTGCCCCCACCATCTAGAGCAGTTGCCGGCAAAAGTTTTCTATCAAGAGCCAGATAGTAAATATTTTTGGATTGTGGGCCTTGCAGTCTCTGTTGGAGTCATTCAACTCTGATTTGCAGTGTGAAAGCAGCCTTAGACCATATGTAAACGAATGAGCATGCCTGTGTTCTAATAAAACTTTATTTACAAACACAGGCACTGGGCCACATTTCACCCAGGGGCTTTACGTAGTTTACTGAATCCTGACCTAGAAAATGAAGCTCAAACTCCTCATCCTTGAGCCCTGTATCTTCTGGCCTCTCAGCACCTACCTCCCCAGAAGGGCCAGGGTTTGGGTGAGGAGAGTGAGGCACTCGCCTCAGATGCAAAACTTAAAATGATGCCCAAAATTTCAGTAAGTGAGATAACACTTTACTGCACTATTTAAAAAAAAATCAAAATGAATGAAAAACATCTATGATAAGGACAATATCAAAAATCTAAATAATGATAACATCAGTAGACTGAAGTTAGTTAACAGTTATTTAAAATCATAACTTGATCAACAGAAATTGTCACACATGGCAGCATTCTCAGCAGAAAATGAGAGAAGCCAAAAAGGAGATTTTGAAAAGATTGTTTCCACATTTACTTCCAGAAGAACCAGGAAAGCAAAATTATAATAAATCCTGGTGGGTACAGATAAACCCTTAAACTTAAAATGATGTTTTTTTTTTTTTTAAAGATTGGCACCTGAACTAACATCTGTTGCCAATCTTCCTCTTTTTTCTTTTTTTTTCTTCTTCTCCCCAAAGCCCCCAGTGCACAGTTGTATATTCTAGTTATGAGTGCCTCTGGTTGTGCCATGTGGGACGCTGCCTCAGCATGGCTGGACGAGCGGTGCCACATCAGTGCCCAGGATCTGAACTGGTGAAACCCTGGGCTGCTGAAGCAGAATGTGCAAACTTAACCACTCGGCCACAGTGCCGGCCCCTAAAAGGATGTTTTAATACACACAACTTTCAGGTTTCTAAAAATATTTCAATTATTTAAATTTCTGGGGAAAAAATGACCATTAAAAATACGTGAAAACACATATACAGGGACACACATATTTCCTTCTGCCTCAGGCTCCAATTGGTTAGAAGAGCACTCTTACTGACGCTGGGTTATTTCTGTTTTTGATATTTTGTTCTCTGTGGTTTTCCTTTTGCATTCACTTTGATTTAAATATCTTGCATTCAAATGTTATTTATCGCACTTATTGAGTTTTTCTGTGCTCCTTTTTTTTTTTTTTTAAAGATTTTATTTTTTCCTTTTTCTCCCCAAAGCCCCCCCAGTACATAGTTGTATATTCTTCGTTGTGGGTCCTTCTAGTTGTGGTATGTGGGACGCTGCCTCAGCGTGGTTTGATGAGCAGTGTCATGTCCGCGCCCAGGATTCAAACCAACGAAACACTGGGCCACCTGCAGCGGAGCGCGCGAACTTAACCACTCGGCCACGGGGCCAGCCCCCTCTGTGCTCCTTTTAATTTTCCATTTTAGGCGAGTGCCTCACTTGCCTTACCCAGATCCTAGCCCCACTGTCCAGTCCACTTCCTGCCACTCCTCCCGCCTCCCACCCTTTGCTCCATCCACAGTGGGCTTTTCATCGTCATCAACCAGAACAAGCTTACTTGTGCCCCTGGGTCTTTGCATAGGCTGTGCCTCCCTTCTCTAATGCTCTTCCCTCCCAATTTGGTTGGGGAGCAACCAGCAATGGGACTGTCAGCGAGGTCAATGGACTCAGAAAAGTGTGATATCTTGTAGTTAAGTAAAGAAGGGCTTTTGCTTAGAGAAGCCATGCACCTGGGTCACCTGCTGCTGCAGAGTCCAGAGAGGTGAGGACAGAAAGATGGCCATTTGGATTTCACTAGCAGAGGTCACTGGTGTGCTGGATAATAGCAGTGTTGGGAAGTGGCTGGTGTGTGTGTGTATGTATCTTAACTTGAACAATCAAGAGAGAATAGGAGCAACAAAAACATCAACAATTCAAGAGAGGGGTGGAGCAAAATGGCGGGGTGAGCTCACCCGGGATTCTCTCCCCTCCAAAATACAACAAAAGATTGGAAGAACTGAATTTCAGAGAATAAACATAATGCCAGCTCGTTAGAGACCTACAATACCAAGAAGGCGGAGATCATAAACCTTACTTACACCTTCGGAGGCGCCGGAACGGTAGGAGAGAACATCGCTCCCTCCCCTAGAGTCTGCCATCGCTGCTGCGCCAGTCGGGAAGGAGCGGGGGAGGGGCCGCGCGACCGGGCGATCATCCGGGACTCCTGCCGCTGATTCAGTGGAGACCCGCTGACGGGGGGAAAGCTTCCATCCACAGGGACCCTATAAATCAAGGGCCTTGGGAGACTAGAGAACAGAACTGATCTGAACCCAGACTGGCGCGTGTGAGTAACAGCCCCTCCCTCCTAACAAAGCCAGTGGGCGCAGCCATCTTGCCCGAAGGCGGAGAGCTAACACGCCGCTCTCGACCCCCATCTAGTGGCGACAGGCTGTAACTGCAACTGAATTCTACCACCATGCGAAAAAACCGCTCCTCTACCATCCAGCAATTTATAAAAGCCCCAGACCAGAAGGAAAACAATAAAAACACAGAATTAAGTCCTGAGGACTTGGAATTAGGTAAACTAAGTGATAATGAATTCAGAGCAGCTATAATCAAAAAACTCAATGAGGTAGAGAGAAAGATAGAGAAACAAGCCGAGTTCTGGAGTTACTTCACAAAAGAGATTGAAATCATAAAGAAGAATCAAACAGAATTACTTGAGATGAAAAACACAATGGACCAGATAAAACAGAATACGGATTCCCTGAATGCCCGGGTAGACAACATAGAGGAGAAAATTAGCATAATCGAAGATAGACAGGCTGAATGGCGCCAGACAGAGGAAGAAAGAGAACTAAGAATTAAAAAAAATGAGGAAAATCTCTGAGAGATAATGGATTCAATGAGGAGTAAGGACATAAGGATCATAGGAATTCCTGAGAATATGGAAAAGGTAAATGGAGCAGAAAGTGTGCTTAACGAAATTATTGAAGAGAACTTCCCAAATCTAGGGATCAATGGAGAAATGTGTGTAGAGGAGGGTTTTAGATCTCCTAGATTTGTCAATGTAAAAAGACCTACCGCAAGGCACATAGTAGTAAAGTTGGCAAATAGGAATGATAAGGAGAGAATACTCAGGGAAGTAAGGAAAAAAAAGAGAATAACCTATAAAGGAGCCCCTATTAGACTGTCAGCGGATTTCTCTACAGAAACCCTACAAGCTAGGAGAGAATGGAGTGATATATTCAAAGCTTTAAAGGATAAAAACCTTCAGCCAAGAATACTCTATCCAGCAAGAATTTCCTTCAGATATGAGGGAGAAATTAAATCTTTTCCAGACAAACAAAAGTTAAGGGAATTTGTAACTAAAAGCCCTCCATTACAAGAAATCCTCAAGAAGGCTCTCATACCTGAAAAAAGAAAAAAGGGAGAAAGGGGACACAATCCACAGACTAGGGAGACTGATGGATAGAACCAGAACAGGATAGCAAATATTCAACTATAGCATTAGGGTAAAAGTAAGGAAACTACCAAAACAAGGACGATCTTAGCACTCTAACTACAAATTAATAAGACGAGTTGGAATAAAAAAATGAAAATAATTATTTAGGAGGGGAAGAGCAAAGGGTCTAAATCAGTATTGGTCAAGTAGGTAAGTGACCACCAGAGAATAGACTATATTATACACGAGATTCTAAATACAAACTTCAAGGTAGACACTAAAATAAAGTACAGAACAGAGTCACAAATTATAAATAAGGAAAAATCTAAGAAACCCAGCATAAGAAATTGCAGTATTAAATGGGTAGTCTAAAGCACACAGGAAAAGAAACACAGGAAAACAAGATAATGAGCGACAGATTGATAGCACTAAGTCCACATGCATCAGTAATCACTCTCAATGTGAACGGATTGAACTCTCCAATAAAAAGACACAGAGTGGCAAAATGGATTAAAGAACATGATGCAACAATTTGTTGCCTCCAGGAAACACACCTCAGCCCCAAGGACAAACACAGACTCAGGGTGAAGGGGTGGAGGACAATACTTAAGCAAATAGCAAGGAAAAAAAGGCAGGTGTTGCAATTCTCATATCAGACCAAGTGGATTTCAAAATAAGACAGGTAAGGAGAGACACAGAGGGACAATATATAATGATCAAAGGGACACTTCATCAAGAAGAAGTAAGGCTTATAAATATCTATGCACCCAACACAGGAGCACCAAGATTCATAAAGCAACTATTAACAGACCTAAAGGAAGATGTTAAAAACAACACAATAATAGTAGGGGACCTCAACACCCCACTCACATCAATGGCCAGATCATCCAGACAGAAAATCAGCAAGGAAATAGTGGAGCTAAATGAAAAACTAAAACAATTGGACTCAATAGACATATATAGATCACTTCACCCTGAAAGAGCTGAATACACATTCTTCTCAAGTGCACATGGAACATTCTCTAGGATAGACCATATGTTTGGAAACAAGGCAAGCCTCTACAAATTTAAAAAAATTGAAATAATAACAAGCATCTTCTCAGATCATAGTGCTATAAGGCTAGAAATTAATTACACGAAAAAAGCTGAGAAAGGCACAAAGATGTGGAGACTAAACAACACACTACTGTACAAGCAATGGATCATTGAAGAAATTAAAGAAGAAATAAAAAAATACCTGGAAACAAATGAAAATGATAGCATGCCATACCAACTCATATGGGATACAGCAAAAGCTGTATTAAGAGGAAAATTCATCGCCATACAGGCACATCTTAACAAACAAGAAAAATCCCAAATAAGCAACCTTAAAGCACACCTAACTGAACTAGAGAAAAAAGAACAAATGAAGCCCAAAGTCAGCAGAAGGAGAGAAATAATAAAAATCAGAGCAGAAATAAATACTATTGAAACGAAAAAGGCAGTAGAAAGGATCAATGAGACAAAGAGCTGGTTTTTTGAGAAGATAAATAAAATTGACAAACCACTAGCCAGACTTACACAGAAAAAAAGGGAGAAAGCTCAAATAAACAAAATCAGAAATGAGCGAGGAGAAATAACAACAGACTCTGCAGAAACACAACAGATTATAAGAGAATACTACAAAAAACTATATGCCAACAGAATGGATAACCTAGAGGAAATGGATAAATTCTTGGACTCCTCCAGTCTCCCAAAGCTCACTCAAGAAGAGGCAGACAATTTGAACAAACCAATCACAAGGAAAGAGATTGAAACAGCAATCAAAAACATCCCAAAGAATAAAACCCCAGGACCAGATGGCTTTCCTGGGGAATTCTACCAAACTTTCAGAGAGGATTTAATATCTATCCTTTTCAAGCTATTCCAAAAAATTAGGGAAGATGAAGCACTTCCTAACATATTCTATGAGGCCAACATCACGCTGATACCAAAACCTGACAAGGACACCACGAAAAAAGAGAACTACAGGCCAATATCACTGATGAACATAGATGCAAAAATTCTAAACAAAATTTTGGCAACCAGAATTCAGCAATTCATCAAAAGAATCATACATCAGGATCAGGTGGGATTCATACCAGGGACACAGGGATGGTTCAACATCCGCAAATCAATCAACGTGATACAGCACATCAACAAACTGAGGAATAAAAACCACATGATCATCTCAATAGATGCAGAGAAGGCATTTGACAAGATC